CGATGTTGGGTAATTTGCGTGCCGGCTCGACTTGACGGAAGCAGCTGCGCTTGGCCGTGGTAGAGTTTCCAACTTCAACCCTTTTGAGCTCAGAAGGATCGGAAATCGGCGGAGTGTAGTTAAGAGGGGTATTGGCCAAACCCCAGGCATTGTTGAAGAACCCGGCAGTTCCGTACGTGTACCAGAAGAATGGAATAGTTGACGATTCAAGATTGATATTGGCAGCCACGAGTTCCGGACAATCATTGGAGAGCAAAATACCTGCAGAACCACCAGCGGAGTGGCCAATCACGTACGACTTGCCGATAAGGTTGAGAAGCTTGCATCCGCTAGATCGCATGGCGTTCTCGAAGGTGATGTTATCAGTAGTGTATGGAACCATGGAGTTCTTGAAGTTTTCGAAAGTTGGATCGCCGGCTCTTCCGGTGCCGGGAAATTGTGTATGCATTTGAGACTGGGGATAGCCGTTGTAGAACTCAGGAGCGGAGAATCCCATTTCGACCAAAGTCGAAGATGATCCCGCCGTCAATGGGAATCCCTCCAAGTCCATGTTGGTGCTCCGGCCATTGCCGACAGCATCGACGATGTACACAACGTAGCCCTCCTCAATGAAGTAGCTAGCAAATCCTTTGCGGTTGTCCGGCGTGTTGAGCCAAGACGTACCACTGCATCCTCCCCCATGGAAGAAAACGATGGGTGTTTCTCGTAGGGGAAAGACTGGGCGAAGTTTTTCGACATAGAGTTTGTCGGCGGTGAGTTCGCCGGAGGCGGTATCCAGAGCGCGACCCCCAACGTAGAAAAAGTCCCTGAGGTACGGAACGGCATCGGCGTTTCGGCATTGAGGGTGAATGGCGTTGACACCGGTACAGTCCCGGCCTTCGAGTCCAGAGGCCAAAGGAGCCACGGCTAGCAAGCCCGCGCAAATGAATTTGAAGGTCGCCATTGATAAAGAACGCGATAATATGGTGTGGAATGTTGAGACTGAGTCAAAGTCTCCTCGTCTTTGATTACTATGAGCACCGAAGGACCTTGAATTATATACAACGGTTCCAACAGAACAGAATGCAAATCTGCGAAAAGATGCGAGGAAGTGGGTACTATGAACATTGCTGCGTTGCTAGCCAGGGGCTCATGGCCTACCAGCTTGGCGAAGGGGCACAGCAGAAGCGGGATCAACTGGAGTAAGTTTTCGGTAATAAGTCCGACGCTCTATGCATATTGCCCCGCGTGAAGACATTGTTCCGCATGTCGCGCTGAACGAGAATGAGAAAGCACGGCTTCAAGTTGTACTTCGTCCCTCAGCAGCGCGCGTCGCAACTACAAGAGTAAGCACGCTACATTTTCCGTCCTTCGAGCGTCCAGGCCAGTATTTCACAAGGAGAATGTTCAAATTTCTTTTGGATTTTCATCTACGGGCCACTTGTTAGAAGGAAATAAATAATAGAGGTATTACGATAAGAAAATGCAAAGGGGTGGCATAGCGCTTTGAAAATTCAAAAATCAATGTATGTGATTCAGTCCAAAACATCCTATTTAACCGCAAAAGGGCACCTGGCTTGAGATGATGGAGCTGTGAACTATCATAGTTTTAGTGAGTCATTTAATATGTTATAGAAGGCTTCTTAAAGTAGCGGAAATGAACGTACGCGCCGCATAACGTGATGATTTTCGCACACATCACATATTTGCCTCTACGCCAATCCCGCAGAAGACCTGCACAACAGCATTCCGTGACTATCGATAAAATGCCAGCCTCTTCATACTCCCTCAAACCTCAGATACACCAATCTGATTGTCTGACGTGCGCTTACATCATGCCAGTTGACGCACCGCGAGATACTCGCAACTCGTGCAGAGTCATGGAAAACACCCCTCTCACTATGTGGACGATAGTCCGACTCAGGTGTTCCAGAAACATAGACTGAGGCCTCAGAATGGAGCAGGAATTCGGGTTTGGGGGGACATCGTGCGCCGAGAAATGACAATACCAACTCAATGACTGGAGCTGGGGGTCAAAGACACAGTGCTATAATATTTACCAGACAGGATTGCATCGTTTGAAAGACAAGTTAAAAAAAAAAGAATAGGAAATCTCAAGTAAGAAAATGACGCCCTGCACTCTGGCTTTTGTTTGAGGATAGATTGCTTGCAGTATGAGCGACTTCCATGCCACTGAATGGCACCACTTTCTATTACGTTGGTCAACATTTGAAGACTATTATTCATGAATGGAGACGAGCTGAGCGCAGTAACAAGTCACACTGTGATAGTTTTGATGCATAGTAAAACTTGGGATATGATTCAATATGTGCCACGTAGTCATAAGCTACTTACGACTGGTCATCCGCGTCAAAATACCACCGCCCGCCATGATATCACCTGCCTGTTTTTGAACACCACAACACCGCCGGAGTACATCATACATCATGTCTTTAGAAGCCACCGTTAGGGTGGATGAGGACTTTGGTGTACCCATCAATTCTCTTGTCAAACTTCTCGTAGGCAGTCTCCGCATCGTCAATGTTGATTTCATGCGAGACGACGAAGCTTGGCTTGGCCTTGCCTGCAATGATCAAGTCGCGCAGATACCTGTTGTAGGCCTTGACGTTGCATTGGCCAGTGCCGAGAGAAAGTCCCTAGGATTATTTAGCAAAGCACCAGTTAGCTGAAGCTTTGGGGTGCACATACCTTCTCGAATAGCTTGCCAAAGCTAAGGCTGATCATGCCCTTTGCCGAAGCATCATCCGATGCACCAGGATCACTAGATGACGAGTTAGCTTGTTTTTCATGCATCAAAGTTATCAAAATTCTCACCTCGGAACGTAAAGTCCTGGAATTCCAAGGCCACCGCAAGCTCGGGTAACCTTGATCATGTTCTCTAGCACAATATTGGGCTGTTCCGTGTTGCCGCCTGCACTGACGGCCTGGTATCCGACGGCATCAACGGATCGGTCAACCTCGCCACCATTCGACTTCTTGATTTGCTCCACGGCATCGCCCTTTGTGAAATCGATCGGTGTGCATCCGATCTTCTCTGCGGATTGAAGACGTTCAGGAACACGATCTACGACAAAGACTCTTGATGCTCCACGGAGCACAGCAGAGTACGCTGCCATAAGGCCAACGGGACCTGCACCAAAAACAGCAACACTCTCACCCGGCTTGAAGCCAGAGAGCTCAACACCGTGCCAGCCTGCAAGTACCGAGTAAGTCCTTGCATCAATCCAACAGTCAAGTAAGAGTCTCACCAGTTGGGAAGATATCTGCCAGAAGAATAAAGTCGGCTTCGAACTCCTTTCCAGGAGGTAGCTTCAAGGCATTGAAGTCGGCGTACGGTACTCTCAGGTATTGAGCCTGCCCACCAGGGTAAGGTCCCATGGCGACATATCCTGGGAAGTTGTATTAGCCTACATCCTTGAGGTAATAATTAGAACCAGGGCACCAACCGTAAGCACCGCCAGCGAAGCCAGGGTTGACACCGGTGCAGAATGCCGTGCGCCCTTCCTCGCAGTTTTGGCAACGCCCATCTGCGACATTGAAGGGCATGACTACGCGGTCTCCCTTCTTGAGAAGAGTGACGCCAGCACCGAGCTCTTCGACAATTCCCATGTTCTCATGGCCTGTAATCCTCGTCAATACTTGACACACGGGGCCTCGAAGTCTCGAAGTTTGTTGTAGGATAACTCACCGAATGTTATGCCAGCCTCCGCTGCAGTTCGTCCCTCATACATGCTACGAGATACTTAGCTACTTCATTATTACATTCAAAATGTCAGGAGTGGCATACTGCAAGTCTGATCCGCAGATGGCAGCCTATATCGACAATCAGCTTGGCGACCCTCTTCGAGGAAGAACAGATGAAAGTGGGGTTCATCTTACCGTTGTGACTTTGACGATGACATCGTCGGGGTGTAGGATCTTTGGCAGGGACACCTCCGAAACCTTGACCTTGTAAGGTCCCTGATAGTTCACTGCTTTCATAGTAGAGGCCATGGTGATGCGTATGGGTTGGTATATTTCAGATGACGAGCAATGGGGATTCGAGAGGAGAAGAGGAGGAGCACAGCAGCACCCATCCTTATTTATCCCACTCACGAACCCCTCACGAAGGAGCCATCATCTCCCAAGAAATCACCAAGAATAGGTGCCATTGTATGACATCGACCCCGGGTGACCGGCTACCACACGAGGCAGCTTGTCTCCCGCGGAATATCTTGCTAAACTGAGATGGGGGCTGCGCCGCTGCGGGGTAGCGGGCGGGAAACTTTTGCCAAGACGCGGGGATGCCGCCGCGGGCCAGTTTGTGTCCGGTAACTTCGAGTGTGACGGGAGGATGGCCGGAGTGGGGGATGAGAAGAAGTCCGAGTGGGAGGGGATCAATCCCGAACCCCCGAGCCTGGAGCTGTGGCCCAAATCGGCGAATCATTACCATTCCTAGATGGCGCGGGGAAGGGAGAGTAGCCAGTTCTATCTCATCCGAGACCCTCCCCCACTCTTAGCAGAAGATGAGACGACTGTTCTTCAGACACATCGAATCATTCCTCTTACCCCAAGTTTGCTCCTGCATGACGTATTTGGAGAAGTGGAGGTCGACACTTTTTGGAGACAGGGACGATGGGTCTCGATGAATAGAGCAAGCCGCTGCTAGAATCCCGGACGTCGCAACAGTTCTCCGCAAATGTCGCCGAACATTGCTCGTCTTGGTTCATTTTACTATTTCTGCAAGAAAGAGCATGCTGCATGTTTCAGAGAAGCCGAGGCACAATGCGCTCCCAACAGTTCAATATGCGTCTATAGCCGCACTTCGAGTGCCTGGACCAGGAAGAGTAAAAGCCTCACAGCTCCCAGGTTCTTCGGGAGTATGTGGGAGTGTCTTTGAGCTTGGCTGCATTCATCCTAAGCGACTACGGCAGCTGTGCTAGGCAAGTGAAGATGTCGGAAACTCCAGGTACGTTATCAGTCAATAGAACCTAGCTTCGTTCGAATTAACTGATAATCCATCAAGCTGCAACGACCCCATTATGTGCCAGCAAGTTGGCACTTCCCTCTCGCGCATCTCCGACCACTTCCTTGAGCCCGAGTTCAGTCAACTTTTCCAGTACGGTAGCTGCGTCGGGCAGTTCGTACACGCTCCGCAAATATGCGACGAGACCGGCAACATGAGGCGAGGCCATCGATGTACCAGAAATCGTTGCCGTAGACCCCGATATCTTCCACAAAGACAAGATGTCGAGACCAGGTGCAAATATGTTAACGTCAGGGCCGAAATTGCTCCAGTCAGTACGTGTCCAATTCCATGCGACTGCACCGACGGTAATCGCCTTCGCAGCTGAGGCCGGTGACTTGGCTCCTGCGTCTTTCCCGTCGTTCGCGGCAGCAACAATGGTAGTGACCCCGAGATTAAACGCAGCATCAACTGCAGCGTTGATAGCTTCGTTCTTGGGGACAGCTGATACAATATTCAGCTCAGTGGAACTAAGTTGCTGGAAGCCACGTACCTATACTAATGTTGATCACCGCCTTCGCAATGCGTCCTGGCGTATTTGTGATGTTGTTCACAGCCCAGCTGTAGCCATCTAGCATATGAGCAGTGGTAGTATAGCCCTGCGCGCCACCTTTGTCAGTAATTCGCCGACTATCTTCTGAGAGTACTCACAATTCCTCTAGCAACCTTGACGTCGAAGATGGTTGATTTCTTGGCCAACCCGAAGGTCGCAGCACCAATTGTACCTGCTACGTGAGACCCATGGCCAAACTCATCATCAAACGTTTCGCCAGTAGCAGCCCAGGCGTTATAACCCTTGAAAGCTCGACCCTCGAACTCGGGGTGTGCCACAGTAACACCGGTGTCCATCACATACGCAAAGCTCCCTTCTCCAGCTGCACTATCAAAATGGTACGGATACCCGGCGTTATTGCCGTTGACTAGTGGTGCAGGAGACGATAGAGTTGCAAGACCCCATGGTGCGGCAACCTGGGTAGCCACAGCCGTGACTTCAGCTACGCGGTCTTCTTCGACCGTAATAACCTTCAATATGAATATTTCTGTCAATCAAACGGGCTCTGTTTCGTTGCTTGATACCGCACAACTTACGTTCTTATCTTGCTTGATCTGCTCAAGCGTTACTTGATCGAACTCCCCAGCGTATGCGCGAAAGCTACCAATTGCAAATGTCTTCTCCACACCAGCTGTGTTGCGTCGCATCAAGCTGCGCGCATGCACTGCTCCGACCCACTGCAAGTGATGTTCAAAATCGGCGTCGACCGTGTTTGGTGCGATACGTACGATATACTTGTCTGGGACGATGTCGTCCGCCGACGCGTCACTGGCAAGTGGGATCGAGAATGCAGGCAAACTTAGCCATAGGAGCAGAGCTATTCGCTTGATATGGGCCATGGTGACGGAGACTTGCACGAGAAGAACAGAAAGCTGGCTACCGACGCATGCATCATGCAAGCAAGCCTTTATCTAAGAGATAGAAAGCTGCCCAACCAATTACAATGCCCTCTACTTTTATCTAATATTGCTAGTCACTGTGGTAATGCAGCTTGGTGCTAATCTCCTGCATGGCCTTTGGATTCTCTCTACTGAGCTGTAGGAGCTTTTGGATTATTGTGGTGTACCCAGTAGCCAAGACGGAAGAGTTCTCTACATGGAAGGTGGGCAAGCTGAATCCTTGCTAATCGGCCTGGGAGCGGATTCAATGCAACTCCTCCAAGATGGCTGTACCCGCTATCAGAGCTCTTGGCGTCCAGATTTGTCTGAACAACCGCCAAAGATCACCACCGCCTTGAATGACGTGCTGAGCGGTCAGATAGCGGTTCAATACTACTACTAAGTTTGTGATTTTCCAGGAATGCATGCGAAAACCCTCTGAGGCCACTGTATTTCTAGACAGGATTCAAAGAAGTGAACAAAGGCTTCTCAATCTCCTCTGGGTTCAAATACCAGGACACGTCTTTGTCGTCGACCTCAACGTCAGTAAACCCGTTACCCATGAATTCAAATCGGTTTCGACTTCGATATTTGATGTTATAGTCTTCCCACCTGGGCTGGTTCGTCATCAAGCGCCAATGAACCAAGGAGCCAGGATAGTGAGCGATAACCTTCCCGTCAGGCTTCCCTTGGTTGTACCAAGAGCGACAGCCACCAGCCCAAACACTACAGATAATTCCTTTGTCAGTGATCCTTGATAAATTGTGATGCGTGGATAGTGCCATGGATCACAGGGCCTACCTTCTCTTCAGCCATTCGTGTACGTGCTCGTTATATTCTTCCAGAACCTCAACCTTGACGTCGATCGATCGGATATTGTCGACTTGAATCTTTCGAATCACCCTGCAGACATAGGTAAGAGCCGCCTCGAGAACATGTGTCAGAGATCCATGAGCTAATGGGGCGTTCGGACCGAGTGATCCAACTTTATGATCAATGTATCAGCCACGCACGAACGGCGTCTCTCTGTTTTCGCAGGGGGAACGTACGCATGAAATTTGGAAACCCGCTTATTGCGAGTGCAAGATAAGCCGCTGGGTCATCTTTCCAGACGTCAGCGAGATTTCGGCCTTGGTGTCCGACAATTGGGAAGAAAGGGCGGTAGCTTGTGTTAAAGCCGGTAGCGCAGATGACGACATCCGCCTCGTATTCCTTGCCATCAACAGTTCTAACGCCTTTCTCCGTGAAGGCTGCGATGTCTCCATCACCTAACTCCACATTATCCTCATGAAATGATTCCAGAAATCCTTCCGCCGGACCAATTCGTCGGCACCCCGCAGGGAACGACGGAATGAGACGCTTGATTAGCCGCTGATCACCTTTCAGAGCAGCGGTCATGCTTTTTTCAAGTAGCTATACAAACCTAATTAGCTGGAAATCTGAACCGAAGCATGAACTTCGTTGTACCTCGCGGCCAAAAGTTTGGATGGGGTGGTTAAGAATGTTAAAGGGGAACCCTTTGATGATGCTGTCTTCCATTTTCTTGCGATGTTCCAGATGAAGCTTTGGGTCGTTTTGAAAAGCTTCAATCTGTTCTTTCGTATCTATCGAGAGTTAGATTGAACTTCAGTCGTGTATGAATGTGGGTCTATCCGTACACGAGAAGTTCTGGCCGCTTTCCGTGTAGCCCTCGAGGGGTACACCACCACTGACCCACTGCGGCGTGCGATAGAAAGACGTCACTTTCTTCGCATATGGTTGAATTGCAGGAACAATTTGTACGGCGGAAGCTCCGGAGCCAATTACTATGACCGACTTGTCCTTCAGGTTCACAGACGTATCGTACGCTGCTGAATGCATCATCTTGCCTCTGAAGGCTTCCCGGTTGGGAATGTCTGGCCATTTCCAGGTGTTCATGATGCCAATACTGGCAACTAGAAAGTCAACCTTGTCTTGGAAACGTCTCTTTTTGCCATCGTCAAGCAGCTCATCAATATCCAGAATCCACTGGCTGGTCTCTTCGTCCCAGGTCGTCTGCACGACCTCATGGCGTAGTTTAATGTACTTTTCAATAAAGCCGCGCTCTTCGGCAAAGGATTGATAGTACTTCTGAATCTCCTCTGCGGGAGCGCAGTACTGGGACCAGTCCGGTTTGGGATAGAACGAGAGCTGATAAGATGGCGACGGAATATCACATCGACAGCCTGGGTACTTATTCACGTACCACACACCTCCACAGGCAGGGTGTCCTGAAAAGAAAGAAAATCAGTAATACCCCTGGAGAAAGAACGATATTCGAATCAGCTCACGGTCGTATACGACGAGATCAATGCCCTCGCCAAACTCCTTCTCTTTCTTGTAACACAGGGTCAGTCCAGAAGCTCCGGCACCGATGCAAGCAACTCTGAGCTTCCGTGGTGCCCAAAGAATGTGCTCTGAAACCTTGTATGGCCCATCATATTGATGATTCAAAGGAGTTCCGCCGACTTTGTTATCGAATACCAACGGTATGGTGTCCGGATCAGGCTGTGCCTGCTCCACGTCCGAGTGAGGCGCCATCCTCACTATCTGGTCAGAATGATTTCGACTGTAGTTTTGAAGCGATTGCAATCTGACAGAAGATTTCTGATTGAAGACTTGAAATGATAAAATCAAAGCTCAGTCCAAGGGATACCTGTGGGTGACGATCAGGGCTGCTATGCATGTGTTTGCGCTTCCCCTCGGGCGGGCAAGGATCCCCGCTCGTATCGCGGCATTGGCCGTCGGTGCCAGATCTCGGAATACAGACCGCCTGAACTTCCCCGCGAAGAATGGGGCATTTCCATTTCCAGACTCGATTTAAGTACTTGGTGGGAGCCGGGGGCTTTGGCGGCTTCCAATTGAAGCGGCACTAACGAAGTGATCCGCCCCGCATCCCAGCTGCCCGTTCAAAGTAGCTTATCGGAGACAACTGAATGACCATGACTTCCATTTTGGCTGCGTCAATGTGAGGCATTTGAACGAGCGTTTGTGCTGAGCCTCTGCTTTCACCAAACCTCCATATTCAATCAATATGTCTTATGAACCTGAACATGATCTAGTGTTCATGTCAATTCCTTTAAGACCATATCAAGCATCCGCGGACGGCCGCCATCGCTTTTTAATCACTATTTCAGGTGTAAATACTATCAGAAGAAGATGAAGGGATGGGATCGGATTTCAGGCAGATTGAGACTTCATTGTGTCGTCTTTAGGGTCACAGGAACTCATGGACTCGGCACAGATTATGCTTGGATGAGTGAATCAATTAGCTAGAGAAGACTTGCGACAGGTAGTCGACTATCACAAACGGGACTCCGTCTTTTTTGCCTCTCGCCTCCTCTTTTCAATCTCTCTGAGGTTGCGCCGAAGGATCTTTCCAGCGGCACTCTTAGGGATTTGGTCAATGAACTCAATCCCTCCGAGAAGCCACATGTACCGTGTCTTTAGCCCCTCCACATGTTTTTCTAGTTCCTGCGCTGTCTCTTGAGACTTGCTGACGCCTTTTCTTACTACTACAAAGGCTTTAGGCACCTCTCCGGCGTACTCGTCCGGTACACCGATGACTGCAACATCTGCAACCTTCTCATGCCCGTGAAGAGTGTCCTCTAGCTCTGCAGGGGCTACTCCGTGACCCTTGACCTAGAAGACGAGGGGATGTTAGTATATTATTCAAGAATGGTCACATTCATAGCAGATTCTCTATATCACCATACTGACCTTGATCATCTCCTTGATTCTATCATGGATAGTCACGAAGCCATCCGGCCGCATTATGCCCAGATCCCCGGTGTGTAAGTAGCCGTCTTCGTCATATGTTTCGCTTGTTGCTTTCTTGTTGTTCAGGTAGCCCATAGTAACCTGAGGACCGAAGGCCCATATCTACGATAAATCTGTGATTAGCGTTTGAAGTCTACTAGACAGTTGTTGAATTGTTCGCGAATTTACCTCGCCTTCCTCACCGTACCCAACCTCTTTGCCAGACGCGGGATCGACTACTTTGATCTGCGTGCCTGGAACCAACTTCCCCACCTTGTCAGCATTCGCATAGACCTGTAGATCCTTGGGAGTAGTCGTGAGGCAGCTGCAACTCTCTGTCATTCCATATGCTTGTCTGAGCTTTGCTTGAGGGAAATCTTTGGCGAGTTTCTCGATGACTTGTGGAGACAGCGGTGCCGCTCCAGTAGTGAGCTGTCTGACGAATGACAGATCATTCTTTCTGGCCACCTCCTCATTGACCATGCGGATCAATAGTGCTGGGGAGTAATTAGCTCGGTAAAGGTAATTAGAAAAGAATACGCACGAGGAACTAGCCATAGTTCCTTGCACTTGTATGACAGAATAGTCTTCATCATGTCTGCCATGTTGAACTTGCTCAACAGGACGACGTCTTGATCGAACATGATTGGCACGTGCAGAAATTGCAGCAGCCCAGTGACTGTGGAAGCAGGCCTGGATTAGCAAAAAGATTGGAAGAATGATAAGATGCCACATACTGTGGTAGAAAGGCAGCGGGGCCAGGATCGTCTCCCTTGTTCCAGGGTCCATGGTATCCATCTGGCGACACTGCGCAATGACATTGGCATGGGATATCATAACCTGAAGTTCAGTCAACACTCAATTGGTGCTCTCAATGGGTTGAAACATGGGCCGATCTCACTGCCTTGGGCAATCCAGTTGTACCCGAGCTGAAGGGTAAATAGGCGCAGGCCTCTTTGTTTGATCGAGTCGCCGGCAACTGCCAGTGGGGAACCTGCCCCTGTACTTGAGAGGAGCAGGCTTCTTCGACCAAGGTCCCAATGGACCTCAGGTCCTTGACATCACAGTCAACAGAAATGAGATGATCCGAATCAATGTTCAGACGAGAACAAGCAGGTCGAACTTGGTTGACGGTTGACTCATCGACAAAGACAATCTCGGCATCGGAGGTCTTGAGGAAGTACTCATAATCTGGAGTCTTGGCCTCGTGCGGCAAGGGGACCACGATGGCGCCTAACCGTATGGCTGCAAACAGTGCAACTGGGTACCAAACCGAGGTCCTGCAAACGATTGCAACCTTAGTGCCGGGTTCGAGACCATAGTTGCGGTTCAGAGAGATGGAGGCAAGGGTCGCGTATGTTTTTAGGGCTTGAAATGAGATGCGACGTCCTGACAACCCGTCGATGAAGGCATTCGCTCTACTACCATAGGGCTGCTTCTCGAACAACCAATCCCATATCGTTAGGGATTCGGACACTGCGCCCGGATATCAGCGAGGGGCTTGGGCGACATGGATGCGAAGGGGCTTGACACCAGCTTACCAGGGTCCAACGGCGGTCCGGTGAATGGCATGTTCGACTAAGGGGGCGCGGTCCCAAGATTAACGACCCTTGCTAAAAATCAGCCTACGAATTTGGAGGATAGAAAGAACGTAAAGTTCGAACTTTTGGGCTGGGTGTATGGGATGCCGGGATCGCTTACCCGGTTGTACAACAAATGCCGGTGCGGGGAAGTTGCGGTCTACCGACGGAACGAAGCCAACCATCTTGACTGTGGTAGTAGTATGTCCGCAGTGCTTATGACCTCATTGTGCAATTAAGTACGTTCCCGAAACACTGTTTCAGATGCAGCATGCAGGAATTCGCCAGTGATATTCGACCTCACAAAGGCAGATCCGCCCCTTACATCGATCGGATCGGACAGATAGATTTCGGCCGTCCCTCAGGTCTGCCAGAAAATCCAACTGTTGAAAGGTCGCGATTGTTCATATGGGTCCAACTTGCACTTTACCGCGCCGCGGCGCTTAATACCATGTCGGGGTATGAGTCCGCTAGATGTTTCGAAAATATTCACATAGGGTCGTGATGTCAACTCATGCTTAATTGGCGAGTCAAGAGCGCCGAGGTCAATTACTTATTTGGACAATGTGATAAAATGCATACCTTGTCCGGCGAGAAGTCCGATAGCTTGATCCTTCTTGGCACAGCACACAGCCCGTGTTTTCTAGCTGAGTGATCATTACAGAATACACCCGCAAGGATGCCACACTGATCCCACCCGCAATCTACCGCGTTACAGTCATACCGTAACGCCATAGAAAATAAAGCTGAATTGGGACCCATTTACTACGTAGTATCGTTCGTCCCATGCCATGAGGCTTAGCATTACCTACCAATTTCCTCGCAGGGTCAAGCATGGGGGCCAAGCATGATGTTTCCCCACGACATCGGACTCAGATCACTTTCTGGCACTCCCCAGAGATAGGCTCAGCCATTGAGGCTCCGAGGGGCGAGCTCGCGAGTGCCTAAAGCAGAAAATCTGGCCAGCTGTGGGGTTCCTAGCTAAGAGGTCTTCCCATTTAGGATGACAGCCTCAACTGGGCCAAACCCTGGTTCATTCTCCTCGGCCAAACCGTTTGAGGTCGACAACGTGCCGATATCGGTCTCCGCAGAGCAGCCAGAAGCTCTAAATGATGCCTTGAAGCTACTGGGGCCATCGGGAGAGGATGGAATGATACGCATCGAACAGCAGCCGCGAGCAAGGCAATTAAGTTTCAAACAATTGTTTATGCGGAATGAATTGAGTTTCTGTGATTGAAACGCGTGATCGGACGAACGACACGCTGGGACTCCGGGCCTGACTCGCGTCTCCCGGGCCGCATCCGAATGGAGGTCGTTCTCCGCGAGCTCCACAGGTCCGTGATCACAAATAGACTACCAATGGCACGAGGGAGCGAGAGCGAGGTAAACCTGGGGAAGAAGCTTGACTTCTCGGAAGTTCGCCGGACCTGTGTTTTTTTAGGTCTTCGGTCTCTTATCAGCCTATCAGGCGTATCATCGGACATGTGTTTATCGCCAGAATTGGGGCGTTTGCCAGAATTGGGACGTTTTGGGGCATGACCAGTCAAGACTAACAACATTATAGGTTATCAGACCTCAGGTTCAACAGCCTTTATGGACCGACACGCGAGTTACAGATTCGTGATTCGGTTGCTAATCGAAACGTCAACCAGCCACATCCGCCTGTAGTCTGTAAGATGGAGCGTAGGGACCGGGCGAAGAGGCCGGGGCTCTAGTGGACCAAGACGCCTTTTTTTACTCCGATGAAATACAACGTGCAACGATCCTGAATCCTTGACTGGTCAGCCAGTACCTCCACACTCCACAGTCTTAATGGCTTTCAGCTCTCTTCTTGCGGCGGTACTGTCAACCCCAGCCAGAGATGAGGCGCGGTGGACTATGATCCCGTTTGGGACTCAATCCGATATCCCCAGTGGCCTGTTCCCGGTCTGGCCGTGATAGTGATGCTTCACGGCAGTGATGACGCAGCCTTTGAAGACTTCACATTCGCGTATAAAGTCTTTAGGTCTCTGCATCGTCTAGAATCGAGATCTTGTGTCTTCACAGCAACAATCAGTCGTCACTCATTGACCCGTTCATTCTTTCTCGACATAAGTCACACAGTCTTTTCGGAATCAAGCTTTCCTGATCATCTCTCTACACTCTTTTCCCGCTACATAGAAACTGCCTCCTCGATATGCAGTCCTCTCTGTTCACTCTCTTTGCCGCGCAGGCCTTCATTGGCACGGCGATTTCGGCTGCCCTGCCGGTACGGGATATAGTAACCCCTAGCTCGGCCTTGCTTCGTCCCGTCAGGCGACAGGCTTCAATCCCGGCAACTCCTCTCGGCCCTGCCAAGTTCACGCCTAAGATCAATGTCACTCTAGATTATGAGGGTCTCAACGCAACCAACGCATTGGTTCATGCTGAGATGAAGCAGCCCTCAGTGCTCCTAGAGCACATTGATACCATCACCGACATCACCTGCTCCGACACTGATGTCGTTCTCAAGTTCAGTGCTACTGACGACTACAACTCGTGCTTGAGTTCTTGGCCGGCAAAGAACTTTACCATGATTACCAACCACAACGGTACCTGCGACAGCGAGCATGAGCGTGGAATCTATGTCATCTCAGGATACACCTTCGATAATACCACACTCACTTTGACCGCATCATCATCCAGAGTCCAAATCCGTGACCAACTGAACGATGCCGTTATCGATTTCACTCACACTGGCACTGCCACCGCCAAACGCGACCTCTCTGGCACAATATCTGCCGACCTCTCTGGCACCACACTCGTTGCAACCGACCCCTTGACTATCGTTGCCAACGAAGCCAAACTTGACACCACCGTTACTCTCAGCGGTCATGTCCACTACAACTTCTGGAAGTTCAAGGTGGATGAGTTTTACATTGACCTCGACTACTCCTCCGATCTGAACCTTGCTATTACCGCCGCGGTCAATGCCCAATACTCCACCAACCTCTACAACTATGACCCTCTTGCCGTTACTGTTTCTGCTTTCTCTATTCCGGGCATCATTGACGTTGGCCCCATGGTCGACTTTGGGCTTGGCATCGAGTTCGCTGCCTCGGGTTCCGTCAACGCCACTGTTGGTGTGGTCAGTTCTATCCCTGAGGCTACCGTCCATCTCGACTTCCTCAACAAAGCCAACACCGTTGCCACTGGCTGGAAGCCCCAGACCAATGTTACCACGGACATCAGCGCCCAGGTCGAGCTTCAGTTGAACCCTTACGCCGACTTGACAGTGGCTCTGGGTGTCAAGCTCTTCAACGGCTTGCTCGACATGTCCGCTGGTATCGAGGCAAAGCCTGAGATTGTTAACGCTTTCGCTGTCGATCTGGACTTCACCTACACAAGTGCCAGTGGAGTTACCTTCACGAAGCCCACTGGAGATCAGTGCATCAACGGCGCATGGTTTGCCAGCACCTTCCACTTCAACGTTGATGCCTTTGTCACTCAGTTTTATACCAAGTCTTTGTACGAGGTCGAGATCCCCATCTACGAGTCTCAATGCTGGAACTTTGTCAACTAGTGGATCGTTTGACCTTACTGGAGAATTATTCTGTGTACATATTGAGCATATTGACCTAGTTTTTTTCATTTGGGAGATGGGGTTACGGGACACTTTGCACACTTATGAAGCTAGACCTCTTTCATTTTGTCGGTTATGAATATACCTATGGTTCGAAAACTTGCGTCGGTCTACATGAATGCTGATTAATTTATCCGATGACATGATTGCGAACTTCGTCATGGCACTCGGCATGGCGGGAACTTTCGTGCTGAGGCTCTCTACTGTGATGGCTGAGCAGCGTGCTGAATGGGACTTTAGTACCCGGCTGCGGGTGCTAGCGGCATGACGTGATACCTCCTCAATCCTGCAACATTCATACGATTGATAAGCACATGGAGTCCTCTTGAGTTGAAAACTACACCTGACATCCGCTCGCCGAGACAGTCCACGAGACCGCGACATCCAAACATCTTTGATCTTGGGAGATAAGTCTCTTTCACGAAACCTTTCGACGCTTACCCTTCATCATGGCCGAATATTCTGCGGTTAAGCTAAGTGACGGAGCATCTGTGCAAGTCAAGTTGCTCGGTAACACCGATAAGACAAAGCCCCTTCTCATTGTACTCCATGGTGCACCTGGCCTATCAGGCCACAGGGAGCCTGAATCGTCGTTTGGGTTTCTTGCCTCAGACTTCCGAGTGCTTGTCTATGACGCCAGAGGAAGCGGTGAAAGTGACTTGAAACCGCCATACACTGATGCCCGATGGGTCGCCGATGTGGATGAGCTCCGGTGAGGAAACCCTTATGCCGGATTGAAGAAAACCACTGACCTTCTGCAGAAAATGGACGGGAGCAGAGAAGTTCATTCTAGCAGGAGGTTCATACGGTGGCTTTGTTGCCCTTCAATACGCCATAGCCCATCCAGATCGTCTTCTTGCACTCGTACTTCGAGACACCTGGGCGAATGGTCTTCGCGGAAGCATCAACTTTCTGAAGAATATTCTTACCAGCGACCGTATCCAGCCAGACCCGGATCGACAGGTGCGTCTTGTAAGCGGCGACGTTAGGAGTAACGAGGATTTTGCAAACGCCTTTGCGGAAATTGTTGGCATCTACACTCCGAAGGATGATTCGACAGATTTGGAATCTGCATCGTCGACTTTCGAGGGCAATCACATTGCAGAGACACACCATTTGCATTATGAAACCCACAACTTTGCCTTTTCTCACAACATACCCCGCTTCGATGTTCGATCGAGGCTGAAGGATATCACAGCGCCGACTCTCGTAGCCACTGGCAGACTCGATGTTGTCGTGCCGGTCGGTTACGGCGAGGAGATCAGCCAAGGGATTCCGCAAAGCGAGCTGGTAATATTCGAGAAGTCAGGTCATAGCCCGCCTTCGGATGAGCCCGAACTGTTCCAGAAAACGGTGACTGAATTTCTAGCGAAGTGGATCGAATGAAGCTGTCTAGATTATATGGTGTGTTGGTTGGTCCGTGTTTGAGTGCCAACTCAATCGTTGATCTAATCTTGACAATTGAAGAATTCCTCTATGTGGAGAGCGCATCTTTGATCAACCTTCCACGCACGTACACACGTGCAATATTCCGATCATCGCCCGTCATTAGGAACTTTTCGAATACCGTTCTCAAAGTATCTGACTCCTCCCTAACAGTCATCACACCGAAGGACTCCAACGGGCAAGTGATCCACAGAGCATCGAACTCCTTGCCCGCAGCAAAACTGCCAATCTTGTCTTCAAGACAGCAAACCCTCGCTCCACCCAACGTCGATAAATAGAAGACTTCGTTCAGAGACAGTGCCGTGTCTTTTCCGCCGGACATAACCTCACGAGCATTCGAGGCGATCACAGCTTGGCGGATGCTGTCAAGTATGCTGGAAGAAAATCCACCTCCACTATCAGTACCGAGGCCGACTTTGATGCCCCTCGAAAGGAATTGGCGAATGGACGCCGCCATGAAACCACCGCCGACCGTCATGTTGGAGATGGGACAATGGGCAACCCCGCATTCATAATCTTTGATCTTTTGCATTTCATAATGGGTCATGAATGTGCAATGCGCAAGAATCGAACGCTGGTTCAGGAGCCCGAAGTGGTGGTACAGGTCCGCCTCGCTGGAGAACTCGGGAAACAGCTCACGTGTCGCCTTGATCTCTTGCTCTGCTTCGTTGAAATGAGTCTGGATTGCCAGTTCCGTATCCTCCTCGGCCATCTTTCCCAAGCCAGCAAGTAGCTCGGGAGTGCAAGAGATTGCGAAGCGCGGTGTAATTACAGGGCGCACGAGCTTTCCCGTAGGATCGATGTCCCTGATGTGCTTCACACACTCCACCGTCTCCTGCAGCGACAACTCAGCTGAGGTATCATGGAGGTAGCTGGGAGCGTTGCGGTCCATGTTGCATTTTCCTACAAAGGCTCGCTGGCCCTTGGATAGGCAGATATCTGCGAGAATCTGCGTAGCTTCGGCGTGTTTTGAGCCATAGTAAGACGCCGTCGTAATGCCTTGCTTGAGAAATCCATCGACACAGCTTTCATAGACCTTTCGAGCATATTGGGGGTCTGAGAATCGGGCTTCGTGGGGGAATGTGACTTGATCGAGCCAGTCGAGGATGTGCAGGCCTTGGCCAAGACCCCTCATGGCCCATTGAGGAGCGTGGTTGTGCGTATCGATGAAGCCCGGCGATAAGAATTGTCCTTTGGGGATTGAGTGAAGTTGGGTAGCATCAGGGATCTTCTTCGACAGTTTTTCCGCTGAAATATCTTTGAAGAATTCGGTTATGATACCATCACCGTCCACAATAAGACCGGCATTCTCAAGGATCTCGACCTCGTTGGGTCCAAGCGAGTGGATGATGGCTCCATGAAAAGCGTGCTCTTGGGCCATTTCGCAACAGCCCGCAAGTGGCCAAATCCGATTTCTTTCGTTGAATCTTCGTGTGATCCCCAAATTTATGCACAATTGTCGAAGAAGGGCCTACGAAGGGTCCCAGAGATTGGGAAAGAGTGTGAGGAACGTGAAAGCCGAGTGATAATGCGGCCACATGAGGGGCACAGGGATATTTGGCGCGAATTGTGGGTACGTAAGCGTTGAGATCTCGCTTATCTTATCGACTGCAGCAACTTTCGGCTGAGCTCGGGCGAGTTTCCGAATCGCTTCAACTTTCCCTTTGAACATGTTGCTCACAACACACATTCATAGGCCGGTGCCGAGCGACACATAACTTCTCAGACTGACTAAGTCGCGAAGACCTTCTGTTCTCATTTCGATTAATGAGGAATCAACCCATGCTTCCTGACTCCTTAGGTCGGTTTCCGTAGTCGACAAGATTCATTTAACCCCACCTACGGTAGTCCATGTAAGCCGGGAGCTCACCCGACAACTCCGGCAACGAGCAATCGGAACGTCGCAGCCATGGCAGACGATGCGACAGAGCCCTTGCGTACTACACAACGAGCGCCAAGAAGCTGTCGGTCATGTGCATCTCGGAAGGTGAAGTGCGACAAGGCCTCCCCTTGTTTAAGATGCATTCGTCGAGGGGATGCAGACAAGTGCGTTCGAGAAACAGTTATTGTCCGCGGGGAAGTCACAAGGTTGCTAATCTCCACCCTGCATATCCACAGTCAATACTTACCGTGTAACCTCTACAGAGGAAAGGATCCCACAGATGCCCCAACGTACGAAGACTTGGTGCGCGAGAACGAGCGCTTGAGAAATGCTCTGTCTGCCCAAACAAGCGTGCGTCATACCCCAAATTCACCCCAATTGAAACCTCGAAAGCCTCAAAGGCTTCTGGAATGTCACGATATTCTTGAAGAAATGGTCTTTGATCCAAAACAAAGACCAAAGTCTTCGGGCCGGATGTCAAGCTGGGACGAGATCACCTTGTGTTGTCCCGATCTGGAGGCCAGTGAGCAGCTCATTGCGTATGACAAGAAGTGGAATTCTTGGGTACATTATGCTCTCGAGTATCCAACCTTTCAGGAGGAGCATTCCAAATTCATGTTCGCTGTCAATAACGGCACCCTCCTATCAGACTGCGACCCGGCCTGGCTATCTCTCTACTTTGGGGTGATTACGGTAGGTCTTCGGCAACTCACCACCATCTAAGAAGCTTGCTAACGGTCAGGGCTTCTCAAGGCAGCTCTTCTAATGATGGATGACGAGGAGGCATGTTTGATTCTGCCTGGAAGTGAGGATGGCTTTTCACAAACCCCAACCTTTTATCCCCATACTGACGCTGTACCCCTTTTTGTAGAAGACCATCCACGAGTTCTTCAAGACTGGTACGAGTCTGCCCTGTTCTGCATGTATCGGGCAGACTTTATGCACACTCCCCAGATTCGTATTGTGCAAGCCGTTGCAGTACTTGGGATGTGCTTCTACAACTTCGGCGACTCTGAGCTGAGCAGACATTTATGGAGCTGCGCCATTCGTACTGCGCAGACTCTTGGGCTTGATGGATCTCGAGGTGGCGATGTTCCAACTGAAATGAGTCAGGAGGCTCAGCACAGGCTGTGGTGGACGCTTGTGATATGCGAATGGTAAGTTAGGTTCTGAACTCAATGCCACGGTTGTTCTTGCTGACGAACGGGTCAGGCTCGCGGTTCCGTACCATGTTCCACAGGTTGATGAAGGTGACTTCAATGTTCCACTCCCTTCGCGCGATCCTCAGCATGACATACCTGGCGGTATCCAGCCTGTCCAGTATCACATCTTCATGGCACGAACATCGATCGTCTACCATCGCTTTCGGTCAGCATTGCGAGAGGGGTCACGACCGATTGCAGAGGTTGTTCGACTAGCCGATGACGAGCTAGCAGAGGTCATCAACACTTTACCAGAGCACCTGCAACCAGACGGTGGTAAGCGCGAGAGAATGCAAAACTTAGAGATCGAACATCCGTGGATCAAATGGCAGCGGTTCGACATCAGTCTTGTGCTACTCCATCATCGCATGCGCATCAATAGGGCGCTTCAAAAGGAGTGGATGATGTCTCCTGGGCAGTACGAGTGGGCAAGAACAGTCTGCATCAGGTCCGCGATGGACATTATCTGGATCACACATAACTGGGACCAGCCTGCTGCGATGAGAAGACAATGGTATGAGTACCATGCTTGTGAAGAAGAACCAGCTGACAATAGCAACGCAGGGCATTATCTTTGCATATATTTGTCGCCGCTGTATTCCTGCTGAGAGAGTCTCGGAGGGCTTCTCCCGATCTCGAGGTCGACTTCAGTGACGAAGTACAACTAACCATACGATACCTCGATGAGGTCAAGTCCCGCAATGCGATCGCAGATCGCGCATCGGGCATTTTGCGCGACTTTATCAAGCATATGGATGACCCAATGTCTTGATGACATTTTCTACTCACAAGTTGAATCCGAACGCTGTTTTCGCATGTCCATCAAACCCATCAAGTCCTAAGTATCCCTCAAGCGTTCTCTCATCTAAGACGTTCCCTTCGGCATAGTCCGGTGGTGGCCGACCCGCACGAGTCTCTTCCAGCTGCCTCTTGACATATGCCCTGTTAATAGGGGTTGAGGGACATGCAGCTATGTATACAACGGATGCATTCTCCGTTCCATGGTGCTCTGGGTCCACTGCATGGCACACCTGTGCAACCACAGTCAGCATTCAAATCGCTCGAGGTCCGAGATGGATACCTACATCAGTGTGCCACCAAACGGTATCCCCAGGCTCCATCTTAGGGATATGCATCAAGCATTCCTCGAGTCTCAAGTGCGGATGCGATGATCGACTCAAGCGTTGGCTCTCCGTTTTGAACGTTCCCGGGAACCAGTTTGTGGAATCATCCAAAGTCCACTTGCTCGCATCCATCACATCCGCAGGGTCTCTCGGAGGCTTGAAAAAAGGTCGAAGCATAACGTACGACACCACGGTCGCAACGTTCGGATACACAAGAAGGGTCCCTTCGTTCGGGGCCGCTCTTGTCAACGCTGTCCAACCCTGGAAAGAGCGAAACACGGAAGAATGTGCGATGCCAGGGTACAGCTCTTGGTCGGCGGCCTTCCGCAGCCCAAGGTCGTAACAGTCGTGCAACTCAGGCCTGCCGGAGAAGATGTTACCATACGCCTCCCGATACGTCTTGTCCGCCCATCGGCAAAGACTGCCGGCGTCGATATGTGGGCCAAGGCCAAGGAAGTCTTGTTTTGGTGGTCTGTCTCTAATGCCGTCGTAGTAGACTAATGGATCAGGAGACGTCTCTTCGTCGTAGTTGTGCCAGAGTTCATTCAGTAAGCCCTGGACTCTCAGATGGTTTGGATTCCCTCGGAGGGCGTTCTGGACAGGAGAGTCATACAACATCAGCATCGAAGGACTTTCTGCTGGCCACCCTTGGATCTTTCCTTTGTTGTTGGCAACATATTTCTTCAGATCAGTGTAGTGATGAATCGCTTCTGACTTGTCAATAAGTCCTCGAATCACGAATGACCCAATTCGCTTCACTTCATCCTGTTGCTCGCTCGTGAACCCCTTCTCCAAAAGATCTGCGGCATCAAGAACAGGTATTATGCCGTGGCCTTTGCTGATGATCTCTTCAGTGACCGTTTCGAGTTGCTGGCAAACAGCTAGCCAACTCTGCCTCAGAGACTCAGCACTGTAGTGAGCGATAATGGATTTCTTGGCGTTGATAAAGTCAGTGTCCTTCGATTCGGTCACCTCTTGCTCCGTATATTCAGCCCATGCAGGCCAATCCCGAACTTGACCTGGCATATTGAATGACAATCAAAAATAAGCGTAAAACGAAGATCGTGCTAGAACAACTTGAGACGGAGGTAATTAGAGGCTAAGCAGTTGCTTGCGACAAGACACTGTTAAATACCTTGTCTTCTCTCCATGCAGATTTGCCGATCACTTGAGAGGGACCCTGGTCTTTTCAACACGAGCCTATTCCTCCACGCTCCGTCTTCCAACCGGCAGGCAACATGGAACCTCGCCCGAGTTCGGGCGAGTATTTAGATTCAATACCAACCCTGCAAATCCCCACGATACCACCCAAAACGGCCGCACTAAGCATGCCGCGGTCGGTGTAGTGGGCCTCTGATATGCTCACCCGAGCTCGCCCGAAGTCTGGAGACAGCCAATCAGGATCTAATAATCACAAATCAGATCTCCTCATGCTTGATGAGATATAAGGACTTGAAATAAGTGATACAAAAGTCTTTTGTGAGCTTGTTGTCGTCGACTGATTTGATTTGAATCTCGGACGACTGGATCCAGCTACTCACGAAATGGGTTTCGAGCGTAAACATGTCTCGAAGCTGGTACCGGCCAACCTGAAGTTGCTGTCTCCGCTGTTGCTTGCGGTTGCCATCGTCAACTCTGCGGTAAGCACTCAACTTTAAAATTTATAACAATTGAATCTTGCGCTGACAGATATTTGGTAGACACTTGGGTACGATGCGTCCGTCATGAATGGGCTACTCATCCTGCCGTCCTACACCGAATACTTTCACTTGACGACTGCCACCGAGGGCCTCAATAATGCGGCATCATGGATGGGCAGTATCCTGGGAGCCTTCTTAATGCAGCCGATTCCGGATTACTTTGGCCGCCGACGGGCGATTCTCGTTGCTTCGGTCATCACCGTTATCGGCATCATACTTCAAGCTGCAGCACAGAACATCGCCATGTTCGTTGTTGCTCGCATAATCGTCGGCATTGGGTCTGCTGTCAGCAACGGCGCAGCGCCCACTCTTTTGGGCGAACTTCTTCCTCCGCACAAACGTGGTCGTGTTTTGGGACTGTTCTTTTCCTGCTTCTACGTTGGAAGTCTTGCTTCTGCTATCGTGAATTACGGAAGCCAAAACATCGCCAGCACCTGGTCATGGCGCTTACCCTCGCTGTTGCAGTTCGTACCCAGCCTTCTCGCCGTCATCTTGGTTCCCTTTGTTCCAGAATCTCCTCGGTGGCTCATTGCAAACAAGCGGGATGACGAGGCGTTGGAGGTGCTCATCATCATGCAAGGGAAGGGGGTCGAGGACGTGCAACAGGGACGGGAGAATCTACACGAAATACGAGCTATCATGAAGAAGGAAGAGGACGAGTACCCTCGAAATCCTTGGAGAGAAATCTTCGCGACACCAGCCAACAGGAAAAGACTTGCCATCCTTTGCACATTTGGTCCTATGATCAATATGTTTGGCAACTTCATCATCTCGTATGCTGCACCTCGGTGGAATTCGGGTCCATGGCCTCGCTAACTTTTGCAGGTTTTACCTCACGAAGATTCTTGATCAGGCGGGTATCAGAGACACAGTCAAACAAACACAGATCCAAGTCATTCTCAACTGTTGGTCTTTTGCGGTGGCTGTCTTCGGTAGCTTTATGCTTGATATCCTTGGGCGGCGAATCCAAAGCTTCATTGGAATCGCAGGCATGTCTGCGACTCTCTACATTATCGGAGGCCTGATCAAAAGTAAGCCGGTCCAGCTTCTGGCCACCATTACGTTGTTTCTAACATGACCCCAGAGTATGGCGAAAGTACCAACCAGTCCGGAATATATGGGACGATTGCCGTGATCCTCCTTTTTCAGGGCTTCTACGCCTTTTCCATCACGCCAATGACCAGCTTGTATCCTACTGAGGTTTCTCAATACAAGCTTCGCGCCACTGGTATCGCCATATTTCGCATGTTGGACGCTGGCTTCGGGTTCGTTGACTGCAACTACCTCTCCAAGTGTCTATTGCTGACACCAAGCAGGCTGCTCGCATCATTCTGCATGGCTTATGCCATGGCAGACTTGGGTTGGAAATTCTACTTTATCAACGCTTCATGGAATTTGCTGTTTCTCGTCGTTGCCTATTTCACATTCGTTGAGACTAAGGGTCTCAAATTGGAGGAGATTGCGGCCAAGTTCGAGGGATCCCGAATTCTCGATGCCATTGCTGAGGACTCAGACTCTCAAGAGACTAGGAACGCCAAGGTCTTGGGCAACATTGACACTAAAGCTATAGCATAGGATTTTCTAGATCATCAAACGACATCCTAACTGTAATGTTCTCAAGCATTTCGAAGTTTCACTTTTGCCTAAGGGCCGCCACTGCATCCATCTCTTCTTGGGTAGGTAGATTCACTACCATCAAATAGAGGGCGTCCTGTTTCATCATCTTCTTCAACGGCCTGTTCTTCTTTCGCTCTCTTCTCCTTTCCCTTCTGGCCTGCCTTCCTACCTTGCGATCGATGCCCAACTCCTCGCGGCGGTCGTTACGCCTTTGCTGAATGCGGCCAACAGGCCCAACAAGTTTCCCACCCGTTGCCATTGAGAGGAGTCCCCCACTACTTGACGAAGTGCTCGGGTTGCTTTGCTGCAGTTGTGGGGCTTGCGGAATCTTGGAATCGGGGTGCTGGGCCTGGAAGTGGGAGGCTGCCCTGCGATCGAAATATGTGGACACGAACTGCCCGAATTCCTTGACTGCGTTCTGCTTCTTCCCCTCGTCCAGAGCATCCAGCTGCGGAAAAACAAGAGGTGCCGGTTCTGGGATCTCTACCTCGCTCTTTGTCGTCGTGGAGGCTGAGCGCACGGCGTTTTTCCACTTGCTCTGCCCATCTCTGTCATCAACAGCCTTTGCGATGTTGTGTTCGAGATCAATGTCTTCGATAAGTTCCGTGCTCGAAGGCTTGTACTTTACAATTAGACAAAACAGACCGCGAGGCTTGAAGAATTTCGCATTCATGGTGTCGAGATAGCCATTCTGCCCGTAGTTCACGTAGGTTCTGCGTGAAGTCTCGAGACTCGTATGGATTGCGAAGGTGACAAGCATTGCAATTGGGCTGAAGCCCGAAACTGCCATGTGGGCGTGATCGGCAACCATCACACCTGCGTTCAAGACATTGAACCATGGGTTTAACTTGATGCTCTTTTCGAATCCGTCGATAAACTCCAGCCATGTTGTCTGGTCGATGCCACATTCATTAAGCACTGGCGCGTAGGCTCTCACGAAACCGCGGTGGCGGGCCTCTGGTCGACGTTGTGGGAGAATGACGGGCATGGGTAGTGCGTGAGTCTGCTGGCCCGCTTCGAAGGGCGGGGGTGGGTGCTGTTCAATGAACCGTCGCAGAAGCTCTTCAGGATCGGTGTTATCGTCCGCTTGATGAGACTGATCCGACTGTTGATGCTGTTGAGCCTCGTCGAGCTCAATAGCCCAGTCCTCGTCGTCGTCACTAGAAGACTCGTCTACATGTGCATCTTGACGTTGCTCAGTACTAGACGCGTTCGATGAACCCCCGGCCTGTTCATTCCTCTCGCGGGCTTCTTTCCGTTCTTTTTGGGCCGCTCGATACTCCTTCGTAAAATCGACCGCTCCGCCAATAAGTTTTGAAATAGGTCCACGTCCGCTCATTCTTGCTCTTGTTGGTGTAGTATTGGCTCACGGAGGCTTGTATGTATTTTGAAAGGTATTTGTTCTTGGCAATTCAAGAGCAACTCGGCGACAGGACGACGCAGTCTTTATGGCTCGTCATCTCCTTTGTTTGCCCGTTAGGCTACCGCATTTTACTTGGACTTGTTTGGGGGCTCGTTTCGCCCGACGGGCCACGCCCGAGGTATGAAATCCATCCACTGAAGCCACTGTCGTAGGGGCTATGATTTTGCGGGCAGTGGTTTGACTGGGCTCACCCGAAAATTAGCGTAGGATTCCCCAATTCCAGCTGCAGTCAGCAGCCTCAAATGTGGCTGTACAGCCAAGACTCGGAAATGATCGTCCCTCCAGCCCAGCAAAGCGCCAAAAGCTGACCCGGCGTTCTTTATACACATGATAAAGACGTGGAGTGAAACAATCAGTTGATAGGCCTAACGATGCGCCCGCAGAACGGTTGGGGAAACAGTTGGAAAGAGGAACCTTTCAGCAGGCACAGCAAGGAAGATATGACAGACAGCCAGGCAGGACGGTCTTTGTGGGCCCATCACCTGCTATCGCCGTGTCCTGGCCGTTGGCAACAGCAACACGCAATCTGCCAGTCCCGCCATGCCACTTCAAACGTCAGACGCAGAGGTAATGAGGTTCATTCATATTGGATAGAGATGTGATATTGGGAAGTCTAGGAGAAAATAAATCAATGTGGTGGAAACAGACCCATCATATGGCTCAAGCAGTAACATCGTCATGTTGCTACCGTTGTCTTCTTCCGCGTCACTGAGCCCGCTTTGATGCAAGGAAGCAAATCAAAGGCACGAGACGCGTCAGCCCCTGCAATTGGTCATTGCCAACGCAAGTAATTAACAGTCTATGCCGACTAAAGTCGTCCTCTTGACGTTTCGCCTCCATATAGGGCAAGATCCGGCAGTGATCAATCGTCAGACAACGCCACACGACAAAGCCACCGTAATACCAACCGCCAACAAACCTGAAATTCTGGAGTAGCGCAAACGTGTGGCGGGTGTTTGCGCTGAACACACCCCAAATGACGACTGCCAATGGCCCGTCGCCTCACTGGTGGAGCGACCGTTTCCCTGTTTTCTCTGGCGAAGATCATCGGATCCGTGTGCCGGAGCCCAAGACAAGCTCCCGCTACCGCGGGAGCGGCTGGGGCTAGGCTCACGAGTCCCCGCAAATTCACGTCATGAATCCCTCCCTCGCCGTCATTGACGTACCTTCTTATTCCCGATGCTCGATGAACTTCTAGCGACGATGTGATGCCTTAGCTGCTGGCCGGGAAGTTGAGGATTGTCCGCGAATGAGTGCCAGCAGTAACCCCACATGAGCTCATAGCAACACAATCGCAATTCCGCGAGACATGGACTGGTGACATTTTGTCTGGGCGGCAAGGCCGCAGCTTGGCCTGGACCAGTGTTGGAGGTCTGACATCACAACGAACATCCGCTCGCGATGGACGAACACCTGGACTCAACGACGAGTATTTGATGCCCAGGATCCCGCAGCCAAAGCAATGATTCCTGGAAATTGGAACAGCAGATTCAAAGACATTAAACAAATTCAGCTCTTATAATCAGCAATCATGGGTATCGGACAGAAGATCAAGGACGCGCTGCATCATGACAGCCCCCCAAAATCTTCCACATACGAGAACGACAAGCCTCCCGGGAGCTTTCCCTCGGAGACCGCAAACACCAAGCACACAAACTTGACAGACGGCCGTGATTATACGACGACCGGCAACACGACCGGCACCACTGGTACTTCGGGCCTGACCGGAAAGAATACTACCACCACCACCGGCACCGGACGTCACAGCCCGACCAGCAACCTGACGGGCAACACCCACGGCGGAGCTACCGGCGACATTACCGGCAAGAACCACCGCACTACCGACTCCGGCATCGATGTTGGTCACGGACACAACCGCACCGGTGAGCAAGACACGCAGAACCCGTACTGGGGCTCCATGGGCCGTGAGAGCCATGGTGTGATCGGTAGCGCGGATTCTTCTGGTCTGACCGGCTCTAACGCTCGTGCAGGCTACAATGATCCCGCCGGCACCCACGGCCCTCACGGCAACCGTGCCGAGAACCTCGCCGACCCCCGTGTCGACTCTGACCGCGACCACCGCGGTGCTTCCGGCACCGGTCTGACCGGATCTAACGTTCATAACTCCAATGTTCGCACCGGCTACGACGACCCATCCGGAATCCACGGACCCCACAACACCCGCACCGGCAACCTGGCCGATCCTCGTGTTGACTCTGACCGTGACCACCGTGCTGCGCCTGGCACTGGTCTCACTGGTACCACTCATGGTACCCATGGTACTCACGGTACAACTGGCCTGAACAACTCCAATGTTCGCACCGGTTACGACGATCTCGAGGGAACTCACGGCCCTCACTCTGGCCGCGTTGCCAACGCGGTTGACCCTCGCGTCGACTCCGACCGTGATCACCGTGGTGCTCCCTACGGCGCCAACAAGGATCTCCCTCTTCGTCCCAACGAGCAGTACGGAGCCAATGATCGCCTTAGAGGCCAGGGTCCTGAGGCTGTTGGCGGTGGCGTCTACAACCCCAACGTTCCTGCTGGTCACCACGATCCCACCTCCAACGTTGATCGCTCTATTGAGGGTTCTCACTTCACTCACACCGGCCATGCCGGCAACACAGGTCCTGGCGCCCAGACCCAGCACGCAACGCATGCCAACCCTTCTCTCATCGGGGCTCACAGCAACGACCCCTACGACACTAGGATGAGAGACAGAGATATGGGCTATGAGCGCTCTGGTCATGGTATTGCCGGCGGTGTTGCTGGAGCCGGCCTTGGCGCTGCTGCGACCGAGGCTTCTCGCAGACACCACCACGATGACATCCGCGAATCTGGTTACGGCGCCAACACCACCCGCAGCGGCGTTGACGACTACTCTCGCACTTCCGGTCCCGGACTCACCGGCCACGAGCCTGGTGTTCCCAGAACCAGCATGCTGGACCCTTACAACGAGTCCCCTACCACTCACGGAGTTGGTGCTGATAAGGGCATCGTCGGTGGACGCAATGGTTCTCCCCCATTCAACCAAGGTTCGCTTCAATCCTCTATTCCCTCCGGTATGGGTCCTGACCATTACGGCCCAGGCCACGAAGGTGCCAAGGTCATGCACACGTGCTCCCACTGCGGTAACGACAATGACATCAGCCGCTACTTCAAGAAGGATGCTGTGTACCGCATGAACTAATGAGAGTGTTTGGGTTTATGGATAGCGTGTTTTGTATACCATCATGTACTTCTAGTTAGTCATAATGAGCATGACATAATGGAACCAGTCCACATTGAACTTAACAATGAGCGTTATCATCCCAGCGACTTTTCAACTGTGCGCTGTTTAGGCTGACATGTATCCATGAACAAGCTATGTAAATTATATGAGTCGATTCTTGCAGAGCCTATTGGGTCCTTCTCCAGCGCACCTTCATGTCTCTATCGGGTGACACAGCACCTGACCCAATCGCCGACTTTTCGTCTTCCGCTGGCCGGTCCGAACTGACACCATCAAAAGTAACCCATTCGATGAACTCAATCTCAAATCTGGAGACGATCATAGCAGTGACTAACATGATCTCTTGCTTTGCAAAGAACCGACCAGGGCACATTGAGACGCCGCCCCCTGTGTCGTGTGTTAGTCCTCGGAGAACTAATGCGGGTAGTGATGCTTACCGTACGGAAAGTAGTCGCTTGGCCTGCCAGCCATGGAGAATTCCATCACCGTTTTGACATGTCCAAGCTCATCCTCCTTATCAACATATTTGATATGTCTTTCTGCCCAGAAACTCGATGCTGGATGACCCTCTACTCCCCACACGGACTCATCTTGCAAGCCAATTTGTGTCGGGGCTTGGACCAGAGATCCTTTCGGTAGAACGTATCCATCCCATTCGAGGGGTTCCATAACCTCTCTGGTCACATTGATCGATACATGCAGACGAAGAGTCTCTGCGTAGACAGACTGGAGCAAAGGCAGGGCCAAAAGCTTCGTAACATCAATCGCAGGCTTCGACGTGACATGGTCAGGAAGAATTGCTCCTTGCACTTCCTCTTTCACTTCCCTCCACAGAGAGGGGTTCTTCGCGAGCTCCATCACTACCCAAGCCGTCTGAGGGATGCTGTTGACGTTGAATCTGCTGATAGTCAGCACGGGATGTAGATTTCGCACACACGTGTTGCTTACCCGGATTGAATGCCTAGATGCTGCGCAGCACGAGACCTCATAGAGAACTTCTTGTCCTTCCAGAACTTGGCATGTTCTCTCTGAAGTCTGGATCCGAATGTCGGTTCCCAGTCGGCCTCCGCTTCCATTCCATCCCAATCAAAAGTATCCCATGAGTCCTGTAAGAATGTCTCCATCATATCTAATGCTTTCTTCTGCGCTTTTCTGGGTCCAGGATTCATCCATGTCGGCAACCCGTACATCAGCTTCATTGCTACCTTGTCGTACTCCCACATAGCGTCGACAAATCCAGGGTATTTGTCAACAAGTCGCCTGCCCGCCAGGGTCATGACAGCAGCCTCAGCCATGTCCTTCTTCAAGAACTGGAAGAGGCACACTTCTCTCCACTCATTCAGCGGCTGTCGTTCTAGTTTTCCTCCAAAGAAGGCCGTGAAGTTCTGTGCCAGTTTCGCTGTCGGCTCAGCACGCGACAGGTGCTCCGTGAAGATATGATGCATGCCGCTCCATATCCTTTGGTCCTCAGGAGTATCCTCGGTCCCGGGAGTGGGGATCTTCAAACGGCCTGTCTTGTCGCTGGCCCATCGTTTAGCATCTTGTTGGTCAACTCCATGAACCTTTTCTGTGACCATGAGAACGAACTTGTCCGAGCTGAGTTGAGTGCTGCCAGTGCTGTTTCGGAAGAGCCTTTGGACATTTTGAGAGCCAGAAACCAGATAGACTGGGACTGGACCTAGGTTGAACTTGACAATGTTGCTCTTCTTTAGTGCCTCCGCGGCTCTTTTGAGGAATCCGTGGTTATCAGTCAGGTATTGATACGTGTTAGAAACATAGGGTATGCGCTCTGATAAAGAAGGAGGCTCAGCTGCTTTCTTTCGGAATATTCTGCTAACGAACAGGATGCTAATTAAGGGCAGTGTCAGCCAGCTAAGGCGGAGGATCGTGTTCGAGTAGAACACGTGTGGCAGGCCCGCTGGTGATGTGCCTTCCGATGCATTGCCGTCATCCATTGGAAAGTTTTACAATTGAAGTTGAGATACAATTGGAACTCTTCCATTAAGGAGAAATGGCCAGAAAGAAAGAAAGTGGATGGGATCCGTCACATGCAGTGTCTCACAACCAACCACGTCATGCCCCATTGGCGCGTTGCGCCAACTACCAAGCTACCCTGACGGGGATGGAGACGTCACGCCACATTCCCCAAACCCAACCAGATCCATTGCATTGTGCCTTCATATCTTACTATTTCGGCTTATGATTGTTGATATTGGTGGTGAACTACACGTGTATACAATTGCTTCGTATGACAACCTGCATCGTCCAAGTCTTTCCGACGAGAAGATTCTTTTACTTCAGTTCATCGAGATGGGCATCTTTCCATTGACCGCTAATATCAGACCCAAGAAGTGTCATTTTCACCCCTGGTTCGCGAAAGTCTACCAAAGTCCCTCAAAGACAGCAATAATTTTGACGATAGTTGTTCCTTTTCAGGTGCGAGGTGACCAATCACGACCATTGAATACTATGCAGGACGGATGAACTTGATCAGCTTGGAAAACGTAACAGGTCAAGTGCTGACATGCCCTGACGCGCCACCTTACCCAACCAGGACTCACTCGCAGCCGCTTACACAGCAATCTCAAAAGATTGGCTGATCCCAAGGAAAAGCAGCTGGCATAGAGAAAAGTCCTTCAACAGACTCGATCCAGTCTAAAGGCTGCAGTCCAATCTCATCGAACGAAGGCAGGTGGTTCGAGTCTGCATCGTTGACTTCATTTGTATAAGTCTGCACAGCGTTGGCTTCTTGGAGCTCATTTGAATGAGAATTGCTACCAGAATTATGCTTCCTTGTTGCATCTGCAGATGAATCCGACCGATGGAACCAGAGACCGTTGAGAAGCTTGGCGTACTTTGCGGCGATATGATCTGCGTCTGTGGCTGCGATCTCGAGTACTCCGATGAACCGTCGCATCAGGTTTGCTGTCTGGGCATGTTTTCCTGATGAGACGGCGCCAGATGCGTGTGCTTTGTAAAGAAACACAGATGAATGTATTTCGTATCTTATTGAAGCTGTCAGTGGTGGCTCTGGTCTCCAAGCAAGCAAAAGATTGGACACTCACAAGTAGAACCGAGCGGGCATGTATCTCAGATATTTCTCGGCATCAATGTCTTCAATGGCAATCCTTAACAGAGCTTCGGCAGCGTCTACAGCCTCGTAAACATGACGAGCATCGGGACTAGCCATAGCTGAGTGCGGGAAGCATGCCGACTTTGAGACTTCTTGCGTGCCGGATGCCGATGCCCGATAGAGAACAGCTTGAAAGGCGAAGGCATTGACGTAAAGACGAAGATACTTCTCCATCATCTTGAGACATGACTTCAGATGCTGAGAGCATGTGAGTCCGTTCCAAATGAGATCCCACGCGACGATAGCGCGGCTCGCATCATCAATGTACTTGGTGTAATCACCCCGGACCATGAGTTCTCCGGTACGTTGTTTTGATGCAAAGAGAATATCGTGGGCGTTCCCGAACAAAGTTGTCAACTCAACCTGTGCCTGTAGCAGAGATGCAAAATCTTCCCCTGAGGTGTACTGCGGCTGTAGCGATGGGAAGTCGTCAGCGGTGAATCTTGCAGATAGCGCCGGTCCTCTGCTCCAGAAAGCCTGGCCCATGCGGATAGAGATCTGGCGGTCTGACAAGTACGTAACTTGTATCAAAGTCAGTATAGAAAGCTCTCAAAGCCTTCGAGGAGAGGTAGTTAGAACTAACATGTCCATGCCAGCCGTCTTCTCAACATTGCTGGGTCAGCTTCTTTGTCTGCCCTGAAAGAGGAATCTTCAAGTCGCAGCAAGTACGCAAGCCTGACGGCGAGCCCTAATATTGACCATGCTGCGCCTTCTCCCCCGTCATCATTTTGCCCCAGTGTAAGCGGAGTCCATTCCCCCAGGATCAGGAGCCCTTCCACACATCCTACGCTGCGTATTGTGGACATGCCAAGAACGACATCGAGGATGAGGCGTCGCATGTGTTGCCATATTGACTGATGTAGCTCGGTCAGGTCGGACTGATCTCTTGAAGCCACTACTAGAGCAGCTGTGAGAAGAAACGATTCATGCTTGATGGTATCGGGGAGGAACTGTGGCATGAGCACATTGGCGGGGACGATCGGGAAGAATGGGTGATAATTATCGGCATAGCTTGCTTCTGTGAGCGGTTCAATCTCTTGTGATTGGCGTGTATACTTACTGTCTTATGAGATTTTGGAGGGTAACTAGGTCCAAAGCGCCCTCTTTGACGGGAGGGTACTCTTCAACGGCTTGGTGTGCCGTAAGCTGGTTTCCGGGCGATGCTAAAGACGAGAGCTGGTCTGTCCGGGCTTGCTGTCCCGGAGACAGAATCGAGCCTAAGATAGAAGATGCGTTTCCAGGTGTTGATTTGTTGAGTCCGGCATCTCCTGGCTCATCATCATCCCCGTCCTCCGCCGCTCGGGCAAGGATCAGCAGGGCATCAGAGGGATTCTGGAGGGACCGATGCAGTGGCTGTTCACGAGGCTTTGGCGTCTCTGCGATTGTTTCTGGGACAAAAGATGCTGCTGAAACCACTGATGGCGCCGTGGCAACGTCACTATCGCGTCTTTGCCTCTTGTTGCCTCGGTACTGTGAGAAATCGCCGCCTCGTCGCGACCCAGCTAAAGAGCAGTCGACTCCTTCGCGTACACATTTTGCGCACGGCGGTCTTCCTCGTTCGCCAATACTGTCTCTATACCGCTAGTTAACAACCAAAATCTTTGGTAGAACGCCTTGTGAATCGCAACCAGAGAGACATCATCCTTGTTAGAGTGATCGATCGGCCGGGAGACGGAGGGACCCACAAATCACACCGCGTCTTGCGCGCGCGACACCTAACACATGCTCGGTATTGTCTTACACCGGTGGCTTTGGTCATGTTCAAGGTTCCGGTCCGGGGAAAATACGGGGTGATGAGCGTGAGAACCTGGGGCCGCTCGTACGACCGATGCGGGGTCTGGGGACGGTTATAGATGGCCGAGCGCCGGCTATAGACGACTAAAGACGGCGGGGTCGACGCGGGGTACGGCAGCAGACGGCCGAGGATGTTCGACCTCGCTGTTGAGCAGTAAGGCTTTATGGGAAGAACGTCATTGGGCAGAATAGGTTGGTTCGTCTTAGCATCTTCAGGACTTGTGGCAATAAGTTCTTGGTTTACTGTACCAGAAAAGCCGAACGAGGCGGTATAAAGCGGGACGGTGTGCAACCACGGGCATCCGCAATATTCAACTCGTAATTGCGAATCCAAAAGCTATCAACCACATTCTAAAGCAAAAGCAAAAGAATTGTATTTCTTTCCATCTCCTTAGTACACAAGCACTATGGCGCCCGGAGTGCTCCAGTCCGAAGCCCCAGCTTCACTGCCAACGCAGCAGGTCAAACAGCTTGACCACCATGAAGCGTACGACCCTAACAACGACATCTACGGCAACTACTTCCCGGCCGATCCTAAGACCCTGAGTTTGGAGTCCAACTTTGGGCCCATGGATCCCGCTTCGATTGGATATCTCCAGCCTACCCACCGTGATACCCCCCTTAACGTGATGCGGGAGCGCTTCGAGCGCGATGGATATCTACTCGTATGTCCTTTCATAGCGATTGGATATTTAATGTCCGGAAGAGTTCTGACACGTGGAACAACAGATTAAAGATATTCTCCCTCACGAGCCGGTATTGAAGTGCCGTCGCGAATACTTCTCTCACATGAGCCCCAGCGGCCTCCTCCGTCCCGGCACCGACCCCGTCGAAGGCATATTCTCTGGCAAAGACACCAAAAAGTACCTGCCTCCCGGCAACCTGCGCCGTCTCTTCGGCCTCAAAGATGACCCGGAAAGCGACAAGTACGCCGAGCTGATGGTTTCAGCGCACGAGGCCGACTTTTACGTCAACTTTTGCAAGTTCCCCGAGCTGCGCCAGTTCGTCAGCCGTTTCACCGACTGGCAGTCTCCCCATATGCTCCAACGCACCATGCTTCGAGCCTTCGTTCCCGACAGCGAGCTCACACCAGTCCACTTCGACCAAATGTATCTCCGCGCTGGCCCTCCGACCAGCCTGACGGCTTGGGTACCTATCGGCCCAGTGTCGCTCGAGGGTGGCGGTTTGATGTATCTTGAGGGATCGACTGATATTGGCATGAAGACCGAGGATGACTTTGCGAAGAACGCGCACAACCTGACTGATGAGGAACGTGTCAGCGCGTTTAACAAGAACATGAACGATGGCGGCTTCCTCAGCCGAGACACAGTGACATACGGCAAGGAGACTCAGAGGAAATGGTTGATCGCGGAATACGAGGTGGGTGACGTCATCTTCCACAACCCGTACATGGTCCACGCGAGCTGCAAAAACAAAGACCCTGACGCGAGGATCCGTTTGGCTACGGATCTCCGATTCGTCGACCCCGAGAAGCCATATGATAGAGTAGGTGATAAAACTCCTATATTCAAACCAAGTGGGCTAACCAATGTCACAGCGGTGGATGAAGGTTTACAAGCCCCTTGACGGGTTGTAAAGGACGACTTGGAAAAGGGATTTAGCGGTATTCTGTACAAATTCGATATTTGAAGACCTTTGATATATATTTAGAGTACAATGATGATACAAAACAGATTATAGGAGGTATCCTTTGCGCCATGTTCCAAAAGTGCATTAGACTAGTAAAGAGCCTATGAAGCTTGGGCATTGTCTTAGCTACCATCTACACATGTTTTCATCCGTCGAGATATGAAATATGTAGACAGCCTCATCATTATATCTAATACAGAATTGGTGTACTACGCAGATGGTACGATGCCCTCCAACGTAGGCTCTGACATGTATCCAACTACCTTCTCGTTCCATGCTGGCGTGGCATCTCTGTAGTTCTTGATTCTATCACTAAACGCCCCAACTACCAAAAACTCGGCCGATCTGCGAGCCAGATGACCCCGAAGCCTCTGACCCCGAAGCCTCTGACCCCGAAGCCTCGCTCATTCTCATCCCGCCAAGTTAGCTTAGCGTCAACGTCACCGACGACGGGAAACAGACAGTTCCGAACGATAACGAGACCCGACAGATTGGTAATCTCCATGATGAAAGAACTGATCCAGAGCATCTCATTTGTGGGAAAACCAAACGCCGCGAGCCTCAAGCACGGCAGATGCCAGGATATTGACATGGGAGCATGCGACTTCAGCAATGTGCTGCTGCAACGATACACATACGCTCCATGCCCATACCTAGGGGTGACAGGCGAGAGCTGCCGCCAACACACACGCCAAGTAACACCCATCCTTCAGTCCGCGTGCGATACGCCACCATCCATCTATAGCCGACGCTAACTCACACCAAGAATCCAACCAATGTCTGACTCGGGCCCCTCATGCCGACAGGTCTCCGGCTTGCTTGTCGTCCCCCATACCCCGGATTTGGGGTTGTGGGGTCGACGGGCTGGGGTAGCTTGCGGGGTGCGGGGGAGACGCCGGTTCTGATCGGACCCCGAGGTCTTTGACCTGGCCGGCCGTCTATTGCCGTAGGGGAGTTGATGATAAGGGTGAAGAGATATGTCGGCCCTTCGATTTACCTATTTAGTCTATCCGAATGTCAAGACCATTGGGTTTCATCAGCATCGAGCTTATCTTTCCCAAACTCGACAGGTTGTCCTTTTTGAATCTGATTCCGTGGAGCTATTGACGCAGTTTTTGACGTAGCAGTTGCGATGGGCTTGTTGCAGAAGATTGTTCGCAATGAGGCGACCAAGTCGGATCCTCCCGAAATCTACAATGCCCGAGTTGTGCTCATCAGTCTGGTGGTAGGTTGCAAAGAGCGCAGCAAACACGGAATAGCACAGAGAATAACAACATTGACAGGCCTGCGGCGGAGCCTTGCTCTTTGGCATGGACATGGGCATCATCGGGGGCGTCTTGACGATGGACTCATTTAAGAAGTGAGTTGTCGTACCTTCAGAAGACGAGACTGTTAACGAATTTTCCGTGCAGGGAATACGGACTGATGGATCAACCGAAGGCTGTTCTCGCCAGTCTCGAGGGAAACGTCGTGTCAGTCATTCAAGCTGGTGCCTTCGCCGGGGCCTTGCTCTCGATGTGGCTGGCCAACCGAGTAGGCCGTCGATTCTCCCTTATCATCGCCTCGATCCTAGTCTTCGTTGGCGTTGCGTTGCAGGCAGCTGCTAGTGGGCATATCGAGGCCATGTATGTTGGCAGGCTCGTTGCGGGTGTAGCCATTGGTATCGCATCTTCAGTCAACCCGCTATACGTCTCGGAGAATGCGCCCCGTGGTATTAGAGGTCTTCTCACTGGCCTTTACCAGCTAAGCATCGTGACCGGTCTGACGGTACGGTTTGCCAACCCCATCTCGCCCTTTACATGCTAACAAGATCTGGCAGCTCGCATTCTGGATCAACTACGGCTCCCTTCTCCACATCAAAGGCCACAGCCAGTACATCATCCCCCTCTCCCTGCAAGCCTTCCCCGCTGTCATCCTCCTCGTGGGCATGCTCCTCGCAAACGAGTCACCCCGCTTCCTCGCCCAGCGCCACCCCGACAAAGCCCTCGCCGTGCTCGCTAAGCTGCGTAACCTGCCCGCGGACCACCCATACATTGTGCAAGAGATGGACGGCATCTCGAGACAACTGGAGGAGGAGCGCGCCCTTGCGGTGAATGCGTCGTCGTTCTCGATGTTGAGGGAGGCTTTCACGATCAAGTCGTACCGCAGGAGAAGTCTGCTCTGCATCACCCTGATGATGTGGTCCAATCTTACTGGGACTAATGCCATGACGTACTACAGCCCGCGGATCTTCGCCAGCGTTGGGTTGTCCGGGTCGGCTTCTGGGCTTTTTGCGACGGGCGTGTATGGTATCGTCAAGATGGTTTCATGCGCCATCTTCATTGTCTTTGTGACGGATACCCTTGGCAGGAGGAAAAGTCTGCTGTGGACGGGAATCGTTCAGGTGAGGTTGTCGTGAGACTCTGATGAGATGAAATGGCTGACGTTCTGTGCTCAAGGGTCTGGCTCTGTTCTATGTTGGGTTTTACATCCGCTTCGATCCTCCGGTGTCAGGGGAATCTGTGAGCGCGCCAGGATACGTTGCGCTTGTTGCCATCTACATCTTTGCAGCAGTAAGTGGTGGTCACTATGGAATGTGTTTATCGGAGTTGATTTGCTGACAATCTTCTAGGTTTATCAAGTAAGTCACACCTCGCTTCAGTTGTCTCATACTCTCGACGCCGCAATGAGAGCTATTAAGATTTGAGTATTCTATATCACAAAATGCTTCTGTTATCGAGATCATGTTCTTCAGCCATAACAGACACTGACCATCTGCAGTTCGGCTGGGGACCCGTCGTCTGGACCTACTCCTCCGAGATCCCTCCCGCCCGCCTCCGGGCCCTGATGATGGGCATGGCTACGGCCAGCCAGTGGCTCTTCAACTTCGTCGTAGCGAAAGCGACCCCGAGCATGTTTGCCACTCTCGGGACCAACGGATTCGGCACGTACTTTGTCTACGGCACCTTCTGCTTCATCATGGTGGTCTTTGCGTTCTTCTTCGTCCCCGAGACGGCTGGTGTTGCGCTGGAGCAGATGGACGAGCTGTTCGAGAAGGACTCGCTCAGGGACAAGCTCTTGTTCAGAAAGGGGCCGCGGCTGAGCTCGAGAGAAGATGGAGTGGATGAGGGTGTGCTTGACAAGAAGAATGCTGAGCATGTGGAAGTGGCCTAGGTACATGGAGACAGCACTCAATATTGTTTGACGATTCGATAGACGAAAACTAATTACTCTGTTGAATGTGACTCTGCGTGGGAACATTTCCCACACGTGCTTTCACCGGTATTGCAGTGGCCGAGCCTACACTGGAAGGGAATTGCTGAACAGCCCTCCTAG